CCCCAAAACCCCAAAACCCCAAAACCCCAAAACCCCTTAAGGGGGTATAAAATTGAACATAATTTTAGCCATATTGAACCAGGTTATGGATTTACAAGCTACTATTAGTAATTTCAAGGCTCTAGCTAAAGAGGAGGATCATAAACCTCAGAAAAATCCAGTACTTCAAACCTATGTTTTACAGAATAAGAAATTTGCGAAAACAATTAGAGAGGTGGAACATTTAAAATAGACAATTTCAGACCCAAAGTGCTCTTATCGCTAACCAGCAAAGGTTAATTAATGACTGCATGACCTTGGCTGCATACAAAACTCACAGTAAATTGTTCGAAAAAGACTTTGAAAAGTCAATAAAATAACAAAATTGATGTTTTCCGAGGCCAGGTTCTAAAAGAAATTCCTGATAGTAAAGACATTAAAGTTTTTGGAAAACCCCTGGAAGAGTACTTTGAGCAATACAACAATATCTTTCAACAAGTGAATCGTATGCAGTTGGACATCTACGATCTCAAACAACAGCTTAAAATGAAAGCTGATGAGAAGTTACAGATGCCTTCAGCATCAGAAGCTGAACTGTTCAGGCTTGGGGAGATAAAAGCAGATAAATCTGAAATTGAAGCCTTAAGGCAAGAAATAGACAGACTCGAACAAATGATGGTAGAAGTGGAAGGAGAGTACGACGAATCTTATGACGAGTACGACGATGAGGACAGTGAGGTAGAAGACGTCATCTCCTTAGACGAAGCTGGTATTTCGAATCATGATAAAGAGGACAATGATGAGGAAGATTTCTTTGATGAATCCCAGAATTCTCAAGATCCTAATAAAGCAATAGCTGAAAAAGTCAAGAATTTAACAAAACAGAATTTTGCACAAGGTGCTATTTTTGAACCATCTGCTAAGTTAGGTGAGAAAGATGAGAAAGCTAAAGAGGAGGAAAAGGGGAAACAAGAGAAAGAGCTAAAAGAAAAAGAAGCCAAAAAGGAAGAAGAAATTAAAGTAAATGAAGACTTGCCTGTAGAAGAAGAGAAGAAGGAACCAAAGAAGATAGATGATAAGACAACTAAAGATCCTTCTAAGAAATCTGAGGACAAAAAGCGCAAGAGTTCAAATGCTATAGATTGTGCTGAGACAAACCATAGCCTAGGCCAAACAATGAATAATTTCAATCAGAAGCCTATCAATAAAGATAAAATTAAGTCTCAGTCTACTATGAAATCAAGAGGAGGGAGGCTAAATAGGATGACTTCGAAGCTGTCAATCGCCACTCGCAAGATGAGGGGTAGCAGGAAAGGAGGAAATCATAAAGAAGTAAACGAACTCAAATTAAACATCAAGAAGCTTCAAGAAGATGTTCAAAGACTTAACAAATTTGAAAACGAATCTGCTGTTACTTCCAGACGCTTTGAAAGCACTCTAGTCGATCTTAAAAAGAAGAACGATTTATTCGTTAATCAGCATAACAAAATTCTCAAAAAGCAGGAAGAGATGGAGAATCAGCATTCTTCAGCCTTGGAAAATATCAAGAAGGAAACTTTAAAAGTGGTTAAAATTCATAAGGATATCAAGAAGCTCATCTCTGATTTTAAGGCCGAATACCGCTACGGGTTCAAGAAGATCATAAAGGCGGAGGTAGACATTAATTTCTTGCTCCAGCAAATGAAGTTTATTAAAACAAAAATAAAGCCGAAAGATGAAGAGAAACTAGATAAAAATAAACTTCTTGGAGAAATTGATGGCAAATTTGAATTACTCTATGGGCAAGTTTCGGAAATGGCAACAGAGCAAGCTTTCTTTAACTCAAGCCTACAAAAAGAGCATGAGAATTTGAAGGAGCCTATTAAAAATGAAATTAGCAAAATCCGTGAGGAGAGTAATATTATGTTAAGAGAATTGGAGAGAACTCAAAATAATCACCGAGAAATTCTTAATTCTAAGATGAATATGAGCATTAATTTAGAGACTCCAGGGAAAAGATTGACTAAGAGAAATCTTAGGCATTCAACACCAGTGAATCACTCTAGCGCTTCAATAAACTTGAGAAAATTCAATGCATCTGCTCAAAAACAGTTAGATTTTGACTTCTTCTACTCAAATAAATCTAATGGGGCTATTAATAGTATTTTCGTCCTGTTATTTTATAGATAAAAAGGGAAATTCCATCCATCTCATGAATTTTACACCGAACATAAAGATGACTCCAAATCATTCAGGAATAGATAAAAGGCTGAAAAGCCTTGAGAAACAGAGAAGGAAAATAGGTACAACACTAAGCACTCCTAAGTATAATCGATTTAAGCCTTCACAGTGCTAATTATATTTCAATAAATTTTCATTTCTCCGGGGTTTTGGGGTTTTGGGGTTTTGGGGTTTTGGGG